AAAATAACAACACTTGGTTAGTACTATCTCAGAATCATTTAAGATAAATTTGAGCTGAATCCGCCTGGTGGAACTTGATAAGAAGTTTAAAATGTGAAAATTTCAAGAAAATTCTCAAATTCAGATATATTCAACTTTGACCCCTACCGAAAACCGGAAGTTGACATTTAACTCAAAAATGTTTCCCAAGAAAAGTTATTTAATTGTTATTCTACAAAACATATCCAAAGATGAATCAAAGACATTTATCCGTTAATGAGGTATTGTAATTAAACAAAAAATTGGATATGACGTCATGGTGGCCATTTTGGTTTTTTGATGAAGTTGAAAATGATATCAAATGTTAGAAGACATTTGGGGAAACCTTTTTCATCACAAATAAACGAAATATTTGTCATTGAAATGGGAGTTTTAACATATTGTAATATTTTTTTTAAAGATCAAAGGAAGTATTTCAAAATGGCGTACAACGTTAACGGTAAATGTTACAGAAAAACTAAATACATCAAACTCATAGGAACGTCATTGTTCATCGGTCTGTAGAAGAATTTTTCAAAAAGAAAATGAAAAATGAATGTTTTTAAAAAAACTGGTGAACTTGGACCCAAGGGCGAACTTTTTTATTTGAAATATTTTGTATTAACATGTAATCAGAAAAAGTTAGATATGAAAATTATCACAAATAGTATACTTTCATAAATACTGTACAATCAACGGTTTTGGAGTTAAAGCGGTTTTAAAGATTATAGTCTATGACGTCATGGCGGCCATATTGGATTTTTGACTTACTTGAAAATGTTGCTTGATCATCTTCAGACCTTGGCCTACAACATTCCTAACAGACTATAAACCTATCTTCTACCAATCAAAAGATACAGACTCCACAAAAGTAGGGGGAGAAGAAGAAGAAGAAGAAGAAGAAGAAGAAGAAACATAACAAAAACAATAGGTCTTTTCACCAGTTGGTGAAAAGTCCTAATTAAAGTAATTACTAGATATATGAATGAATAACGTGCCTATCTAGAAATTTAGAAAGTCGATGCATAGTTGTGCAAGAAATACTCAGCCAGAAAGGGGTGCAAAAACAACAAAACATGTCGAAAGTATTCTTAAATACATATATATAACAAGTTCTAGTTAATATGGGGGCGTTACAAAAGTCCTAAGAAAACTCGCAATCGTAAATGATGTTATTTGAAGTCACCGTACTATTCGTAATGACATAATAAACCTTGTTATTCTGGTATTGCATGTTGCCATGTCAAAATCAATGTACAACTTCTCATAATCAAACACTTATTAGCTCACCTGGTCCGAAGGACCAAGGTGAGCTTATGCCAAACCGTGGCGTCCGTCGTCCGACCGTCGTCTGTACGTCAACAATTGCTTTAAACGACTTCTTCTTCTTAACCACTGTTTGGAATTTAACTTAATTTGACTGGAAGCATTACTAGATGATGGGGATTAAAAATTGTGCAAATAGTTGGACTGACCCCCAGGGGGCTGAGGGGCGGGGCCAAAAGGGGGCAATTAGGCTATACTGCTTTAAGCGACTTCTTCTCTGGAACGAAGTGATTTATGTCAACCATATTTGACTGGCAGCATCCCTAGGTGTTGGGGATTAAAAATTGTACAAATCGTGGGGCTGACTCCCCAGGGGGCTGAGGGGTGGGGCCAAAAGGAGGCAATTTGGCTATATTGCTTTAAGCGACTTCTTCTCTGGAACTAAGTGATGGATATCAACCATATTTGACTGGAAGTATTCTTAGGTGGTGGAGATTCAAAATTGTACAAATGGTGTGGTTGACCTCCCCAGGGGGCTGATGGGCGGGGTCAAAAGGGGACAATTTAGCTATATTGCTACAAACAACTTCTTCTGTAGAACTATGCGCTGGATATCAATCATATTTGATCAAAACCATTCATGGGAGGCAGGGATTCAAAATTGTACAAATGGTGTAGCTGACCCTCCTGGGGGGCTGAGGGACGGGGCCAACAGGGGACAATTTGGCTTTATTGCTACAAACAACTTCTTCTGTAGAACTATGCACTGAATATCAATCATATTTGATCAAAAGCATTCATGGGAGACAAGGATTCAAAATTGTACAAATGGTGTAGCTGACCCTCCCGGGGGCCTGAGGGGCGGGGCAACAGGGGACAATTTGGCTATATTGCTACAAACAACTTCTTCTGTAGAACTATGCACTGAATATCAATCATATTGGATCAAAAGCATTCATGGGAGGCAGGAATTTAAAATTGTACAAATTGTGGGGCTGAGGGGCGGGGACCAAAAAGGTGTATTTGACTATATTGCTATAAACGACTTCTTATGAAGAACTATGCACTGAATATCAATCATATTTGATCAAAAGCATTCATGAGAGGCAGGGATTCAAAATTGTACACATGGTGGGGCTGACCCCCCGGGCTAAGGAGTTGAGTCAAAAGTGTATTACTTGGTTGAGATCCCCACTGTATAACCATATATACAATTGCTGCGTATGAAGAGAAGAATGCACATATGCTTCCAGGATGGCCTTGGGGTCTGCCCCACCCTTGGAGACCTAATCCGTGGGTCATAACTTCGATATGGTCTAGATCCCCACCCCAAAACTATATATACAATTGTTGGGCATAAAGAAACGAATGCAGTCATGATATTAGAATTGATCCTTGGGTCTGGTCACAACCCTAGGAACCTAGTTCCTGAGGCACAGCTTGGAAACAGTCGAGATCCCCACCCCATACCCATACATACAATTGCTGGGTATGAAAAATCTAATACAGATATGCTACATATTCCCTTAGATCTCATTTATAAATAATTTGCCATAATTGCTTAAATATCCAGGTGAGCGATACATGCCCTCTAGGCCTCTTGTATATATTCTCTTCAGATGGAGCTTTCATTATAATAAATAAACAACACGAGAATACCGACGCGTCAACAAAAACCGTAGTTAGAACTCAAAATTGATTAACAGTAGGGTTAAATATATGAATAAAATAGAGGTTTATATGGGACCCTTGAAAAAGTGCAAGGATAAGACATCGTGTTCCGGAAGAACAATCGTGTTCTGATTGATCGACGGCACCCACAATGTAAATCTAGGCCAAATCCTAGAAATTGTACGACATTTAAAGACGATATGATCAGAATTGATGTCCGGGTCTTCATTGCTTCATGTGCGTTTATACCCTTTTTCATGGATAGTGGTTGTTTGTACAGGGTTTAACATCCTATTAACAGCTAAGTTATTTTTTAAGACGTGCTTCCATGTGTGTATTGTGAATGCTTGCATATGTGTATGTGTGCCGGAGACAGGGTTGTCACATTATACTGACAACGGGTGAACCAGTTGTTGCTATTATCTTAATTGCTGAACGTAAGGTAGGAAATAACAAGTACCATTTTAAGGACAGATTATTTGGGGACAGAACCCATTGCCTTCCTCACCTGGGCGAACGTTCAACATAAAAACTCAGAAGTGAGGGATTTGCCAAGCAAGGCGCTAGGGGGGAAAGGTAGATAGAAGTATAGAGAAAGAAAAAGATCCCAAATATTGCAATGATGGAAATGCTTGCTAATTCCTAGTATAGTAAGAAAAGGATGTGGTATCTTTAAGCATTTGTTTTTAGAAAAATGAGCGTTAACGTTTTTGTTCAAAAACCCTTGTGTGAAAAGAACTCAGCTCTCAGCGAGCCTACAATGAAAAACAAAATCACAAGTTTTTTTCATCTCATATTAAAAGTGAAAACACAAAGAAATAATAAATCTTCTGTGTGATTCATTGAATGTTTACTACATTTTACTCGATAAACATTCGAAATACAATTTAGCGATGAAATGTTTTCATTTTACTCGATAAACATCATTCGAAATACAATTTAGCGATGAAATATATTATGTTAACAAAAATAGGAAAAGTCAAAACTATCACTTAATCATGTTAAATTGACAAGGACGAAAAAAGGTTATTGAGCACTAGGTTTTTTTATTGACATATATGAACATTTTAAGAATAGAACACTAAACACTAAAACACGTCACTGTTCTTCAGATATCCAACTGAAATAAAGCACTAATAAATAATCAATTTGTATACGCTGACAAGTAACAATTACGCGCGAACGCGAATTGTCATAAAAAATACATTTATAAAAATCATCTTAAATCAAATATACGAGTGTAGGTCCCGTATTACGCTAGAACTCATCACTATACTATACCTGTTAGTCTTGTGTTACACTAAAATTCATCACTATACTATACCTGTCAGTCCTGTATCACACTAGAACTCNTAAACATCATTCGAAATACAATTTAGCGATGAAATATATTATGTTAACAAAAATAGGAAAAGTCAAAACTATCACTTAATCATGTTAAATTGACAAGGACGAAAAAAGGTTATTGAGCACTAGGTTTTTTTATTGACATATATGAACATTTTAAAAGTAGAACACTAAACACTAAAACACGTCACTGTTCTTCAGATAGCCAACTGAAATAAAGCACTAATAAATAATCAATTTGTATACGCTGACAAGTAACAATTACGCGCGAACGCGAATTGTCATAAAATATACATTTATAAAAATCATCTTAAATCAAATATACGATTGTAGGTCCCGTATTACACTAGAACTCATCACTATACTATACCTGTCAGTCTTGTATTACACTAAAATTCATCACTATACTATACCTGTCAGTCGTGTATTACACTAAAATTCATCACTATACTATACCTGTCAGTCGTGTATTACACTTAAACTCATCACTATACTATACCTGTCAGTCCTGTATCACACTAGAACTCACCACTATACAATACCTGTCAGTCGTGTATTACACTTAAACTCATCACTATACTATACCTGTCTGTCCTGTACCACACAGGAATTCATCACAGAAGTACACCTTTCAGTCCTGTATCACACTAAAACTTATCACTATACTATACTTTCAGTCATGTATCACACTAGAATCCATCACTATACTATACCTGTCAGTCTTGTATTACACTAAAGCTCATCACTATACTTTACCTATCTGTCATGTATCCCACTAGGACTCGTCACCACTATACATGAAAGTCATGTATCACACTAAAACTCACCACTATACTAAATCTGTCAGTCTTGTATTACACTAAATCTCATCACTATACTATACCTGTCAGTCCTGTATTACACTAAAACTCATCACTATACTTTACCTGTCAGTCTTATATTACACTAAAACTCAACACTATACTTTGCCTATCTGTCCTGTGTCAAATAAGAATTCATTACTAAAGTGCACCGTTCAGTCAGATAAACCTATTGAAAAACAAAATACAAACTAATCACGCTTCTGTATTACAAAATTTCCGCATCACTACTAACGATAACGATAAGGACCTGCCTCGTTTGTATTGGATGCTTAACCTGCCAAGAATCCTTATAAACAACGTTTTATCGCTGTCTCTTTTAGTGGTTCAACTCAGCTTTATACAAACTTTTGATTACCAATCTCAAAACCATTAAATCAAGGTTACGGTCGTATTGTCACATACGTAACATAAAAGGAGTTATAACATAAAAGGAGTTATTTGTAACCACATTGTCAGTTGAAACACATCGGAAGATAGTTTTGATATTCATGATGTTTGTTGTAACCTAACGGAGTTTTTGCCACTCATAATGTTAGCTGTAACATAATGGAAAAGTTGTCACTCATGTTGTTAGTTGTAACATAACAGGAAAGTTGTCACTCGAGATGATTGTTGTAACATAACGCGTTAGTTGTCATTCATGATGTTTGTTGTAACATAACGTGGTTGTTGTCACTCATTATATTAGTTGCAATATCATAAAGTTATAGTCTTAGTTGTGCCATCACTGGGTTTCACAGTACGTGTTGCAGTACTCGGTGTCAGCAAATGCTTTAAGTTGATCGAAGATCGGGTCGTAACACAACCGTGAATGTTTAGCAGCATCTAAGGTCAACGTGCTCATACTGACGACTTCACCATTTGGTAATTGAAATTGGTGATTTTTAGCATCAAGGTATCCGTCCAACCAGAGGTAACGGGGAATGTCTACAAATAGAAAAATAGGTCCGAGCCAATTCGCATGGCTCAAAAGAAATGATTAATTTTGCATTTTTTTTATTGTAAACGCTGTTGATTGAGGACTTATTGAAACAAGGTCATCCCATGTATTTGTTCGTTTACAAAAGTGATTTCTGTTTTACATGAATTGGGTTCCAGCTGTTCAAACACATTATCAATCAAATGTTATTAGGTATAAACGGTTAAGTTGTAACAATATATTATCAGAAAATTAGGTGTGTAACTATGTGTTGACAGTTAAGCGGTTACAATATAATATCAGATATTTGAGTGTGTAGCTAAGTGTGGACAGTTAAGTGGTAACAATACAATATCAGAAAATTAGGTGTGTAGCTAAGTGTAGATGGTTAAGTGGTTACAATATAATATCAGAAAATTAGGTGTGTAGCTAAGTGTAGATGGTTAAGTGGTAACAACAAATATCAGAAAATTATGTGTGTAGCTAAGTGTGGACGGTTAAGTGGTAACAATATAATATCAGAGATTTAAGTGTGTAGCTAAGTGTGGACGGTTAAGTTGTAACAATATAATATCGGAGATTTAAGTGTGTAACTAGGTGTGGATGGTTAAGTGGTAACAATATAATATCGGAGATTTAAGTGTGTAGCTAAGTGTGGATGCTTAAGTTGTAACAATATAATATCAGAGATTTGAGTGTGTAGCTAAGTGTGGACGATTAAGTGGTAACAATATAATATCGGAGATTTAAGTGTGTAGCTAAGTGTGGACGGTTAAGTGGTGACAATGTAATATCGGAGATTTAAGTGTGTAGCTAAGTGTGGATGGTTAAGTTGTAACAATATAATATCAGAGATTGAGATGTGTAACTAGGTGTGGACAGTTAAGTGGTAACAATATAATATCAGAGATTTAAGCGTGTAGCTAAGTGTGGACGGTTAAGTGATAACAATATAATATCAGAGATTGAGATGTGTAGCTAAGTGTGGACGATTAAGTGGTAACAATATAATATCGGAGATTTAAGTGTGTAGCTAAGTGTGGACGGTTAAGTGGTAACAATATAATATCAAGAGAGTGAGATGTGTAACTAAGTGTGGACGGTTAAGTGGTAACAATATAATATCGGAGATTTAAGTGTGTAGCTAAGTGTGGACGGTTAAGTGGTAACAATATAATATCAGAGATTGAGATGTGTAACTAGGTGTGGACGGTTAAGTGGTAACAATATAATATCAGAGATTGAGATGTGTAACTAGGTGTGGACGGTTAAGTGGTAAAAATATAATATCAGAGATTGAGATGTGTAACTAGGTGTGGACGATTTAGTGGTTACAATATAATATAAGAGATTAATGTGTGTAACTAGATGAGACGGTTAAGTGGTTACAATATAATATCAGAGAAGTAGGTGTGTAACTAGGAGTGAACGTTCAAGTGATTGCATAGAGGTACACAAGTGATGGTTGGTAACCTTGTTTATCTCAATCGGGTAATTTTCAAATTGTTAACAGACACGAGGTTTACAGAATTTCTTTTACATTTGAAAGTTAACTAAAGAGAGTTAGATAAACATGAGTATCAACAATCACGAGTTTAAGGGCCTTTTTCTGCCACAATGTTCAGATAATACATCTAGAAAATATCATGTTTCTCTTGGGAATACCTTTTCTCTTACCCTGGACAGGGATATCACCATTTTACCGGTGTGAGATTTTCTTATCTCACCCTAGGGTTGAGACAAGGTACACGTGTTCTTTGCACGTTCTCAACAAATGTATGACGTCATATCAACAATACCATGACGTCACGGCAACACTACAATGACGTCACGTCGACAATTCAGCCGCATCATATCAACATTGTCTTGCATTGATGTAACGTCGATATAAAATACATAAGAGGGTAAACACAGGGTAAGAGAAAAATAATCATTCACCCCCTTGGGAGTGAGACAGTGTGATCTCAACCCTCGGGGTAAGATTCTTAAGCTGTCAAACACTCGGCAAGCCTCGTGTTTGACAACTGAAGAATCTTACCCCTCGGGTTGAGATTACCCTGTCTCACCCCCAAGGAGGTGTAAGATTCTATTAATCCCTGTACCTTATTCCTGTTGATGTGCCATGAACTATGACGTCACAATGGCAGATGGCGTCGCAAAGCATTGTACTTGACGTCATAATTAGAAAATTGACGAATGAAATAACGTCCAGGGTGTTATCTGCTAGTGGATAACCGAAAATAGGTGTTTATTTGTGTGGTCGGTTACCTAGTAACAATACAATACAAGAGTTTAATGTGTGCTACTAGATGTGAATGATAACCTCGAGCGATATAGACATATTACGAGGTTTGTGGTTGGTTAACTGGTTACAATGTAATACTTGAGTGTTAGGTGTTTTATTATGTCCAGATGACAACTTAGTGATGTGTACATGTTACTAGGTGTGGACGGCTACCTGGTTACTGCTACTACTGATATCGGTGATTTAAGTGTGTTACTATGTGTGTATATGGTTACCTGGCATCGTCAGATATAAGAACATGATACAAGGTGTGTTCAGTTACATCGCAAAAATAAATTGCAGACAGACTATGTNTGATATCGGTGATTTAAGTGTGTTACTATGTGTGTATATGGTTACCTGGCATCGTCAGATATAAGAACATGATACAAGGTGTGTTCAGTTACATCGCAAAAATGAATTGCAGACAGACTATGTAAATAGATGTGTTCGATTACTTCACGTGGACAAAGTGGTATAACTACATGTATGTTGTTACCTAGTGATATCAGAGATGTACACAATGTAGGTGTGTCGATAAGTTGCCTAGCTACTTCACGAGGATAGAGACAAAGATGTATAATTATATTTGTATAATAAACTGGTGATGTCAGAGATGCAGGTGTGTCGTTAGGTTGCCATGTTACCTCACGACGACAGAGACAGATTTATAATCAGATTTGTTTGTTAACCTGGTTGTGTCAGTGATGCAGGTATGTTATCAGGTTGTCCGGTAACCTCACAATGGCAGAGTGTAATATAAGTTACTTATTTGGTTTCCTCTTGGATTCAGAGATGTAGGTGTGTCACTAGATTGCCCGGTTACCTCACGAGGACAGTGACAAAGATGTAGAATTAGATTTGTATGGTTATCTGATGAAGTCAGAGATGCAGGTATGTCATCAGGTTGCCCGGTTACCTCATAATGTCACAGTGTAAAATAGGATTTATTTGGTTACCTCTCGGATTCAGAGATGAAGGTGTGTCACTAGCGTCGTCAGGCGGAACCATGAGGTAGGACAGTCGGAAGCCAGATTTTACCACCACATGATCCGTCGTCAGTGCCATAAAGGCCTCGGTCCCATTGATGACCAGTGCAAATGGCGTCGTTCCCGTATAGCGGCCGAGGATCGGGTAGGTCGCATTTTTTCCTACAACTCGAGTGTTTGGGGAAAAAAAAGATAAATTGTGTAAAAAATATTAACTGCTCCCACTTATATAGTCAATTTTAGGCTATTCAGAAATCAATCGTCTGTTCATGTTTTTGATGGGTTATCACACATAACCTAAACGCTTACCACATAGATTGTTTTTGTTTGTTTGTGGTTTAACGTCCTGATAACAAGCAGGGTCATATGAGGCCGGGTGTCTAAGGAGACACCGCGTGGACAGAAGTAGACAGAAAAGAAGAAGACGATGAAAGATAAGAAATGAAAAAGATCCCAAGTGTTGCATTGATGGCAAAAATACATTTTTGTCTCTTCGATGTCCCTTGCGTACTGTATTTGTTGTTGTACAGAGTTTAAGGTCTTATCAACCGCTAAGGTAATTTAGGAACGTGCCTCCATGTGTGTTGCGTATGCGTGCAAGTCTGTAGGAGACAGGGTATGTGGGTATTTTTGCCTCCTTGCTCCTTGTGAATATGAATATGCGTGAAGATGGTGCCGACTTAAATGTGCTATATCACTGAAATGCTATGCCGGAGGCACCCAGCACAGCATTCCGCCGGGTCACAAATCAATAATACAATAAACTGTTAGGTATTTACAAAGAATTATCAACGTGTTATTTTATCTTTTTCCGAAATAACATCAGTATAAGTAAGGAAGTCTTGTATTTATAAATTTGTTTATTCCATTTGTTTAATCTAGGAAAACTTGCATAGTCATCTTACCGTCGAATATATACAAAAAGTCATAATTAGTTTCCAAATCCAGGAACTCTGTCGCTATTTTTATTTTCATGTCTGGAGCAGCCGTTGTAAAATGACAGGTACAGTATAAGTTGCTGTAATTGAAACAAAAAAGTAGTGCTATAAATAGCATTTATGAACTTTTTTTAAGGATTCCTGTCCCACTACACTTTGTTTTTATCGTATATAGAGTAACCTCCCCTTAACTTCCGTTTAGATGTAACTGATGCACTGTTTGGCGTGGCCACTTACTTTCGTTGACCTGGCCCCAGAATCTCGAGACTTCTTAATTTCCTTTTGTATATTAAAATGTAACCGAAGCATAGTTAACAATTCAATTTCCATTGGACAGGTAGCTCAATCGTGTCGAGCAATAGTATAACCATCTGAAGTCCAGGTTTCGAATCCCGGTCTAGCCGCGCTGAATTTTTACACTCAGAACAGTTGATTGCATTTTGTCTATGTCTTGTTTAGTGTTTTTCATAAAATTCCCGAGGGTTTGGTTTTCTTTTCAGAATTAGTTTATCTAAGCTATAGTCTTGCCTGAAAAAAACGTTTCCTTTGCGTAGTTACAGTTTTTGGCAGTGTTACGGGGATCCTTAATATCTATAAAATGTTTCTAAATCAAATCTGATAAAATTGCATTAACCGAACACGACGTCTAATTTTAATTTTGTTAAAGATGTATCAAAGGGTTTTTTAACACTTTTTCGGATATTTGCTTTGTCTACAAAGGACGCCAATTCAGAGTCGCTCAGTGCCATCTCATTGAAGGTTCATAAACTAGACAAAATAGTACGAAACTAAATTCGGTCATATTATTCTGACAACGTGCTCAACAGAGTTATCTATAGAAAAACTGGCAAAATAAGGGCAGAGAAAAAAAAGCAAAATAATAATGTCCTAAGGGTTTCGATGGGATGGGGGGGGGGGCAACACGAAGGGGTGGCACTTTGGATGTTGGTTTTGATGCTCAGAAAAACATTCAATTTTAAATTCCACATGGGGGGAGGGGGTTCATTAGTCGGTTCATTTGATCATGCAGTCGGATACAGCAGACACATGAATAGGTGAGTAAAGGTTTGACGAAATCCTTTCAGATTCTTCTTTATCAGATCTCACTTTTCAACTTATTTATAATTATATGGTAATGATTGAAAGAGTGACAATGACTGCTTTCGATTGAACAGTTGTCATACACGTAGTATCAATTTAAATATACGTAACAGGAGATTATACTGCGGTAACGACGATAATATTGACCACTTATATACGTTAAGAAACATCGGTTAACATCGATTGATATCATAAGGCCGAAGTAACTCGGCGCGTTTTTATATTAAAAAGAAAAGAAAATTGTACATACTTTTTGTAGCCTGTCGTGCAGTCGGCGTCTAGGTATCTTTTATGTAGGTCAGCCANGTTCACTTTTCAACTTTTATATAATTATATGGTAATGATTGAAAGAGTGACAATGACTGCTTTCGATTGAACAGTTGTCATACACGTTGTATCAATTTAAATATACGTAACAGGAGATAATACTGCGGTAACGACGATAATATTGACCACTTATATACGTAAAAAAACATCGGTTAACATCGATTGATATTATAAGGCCGAAGTAACTGGGCGCTTTTGTATATTAAAAAGAAAAGAAAATTGTACATACTTTGTGTAGTCTGTCGTGCAGTCGGCGTCTAGGTATCTTTTATGTAGGTCAGCCACTAAGTCACCGGGGCACGTCGTACACCTCCCTGTTATTTCAATAAATTATTACAGAATATTAAACAACAGCATTAAGACGATCTACGAACTAGGTTGTGATTAAGCCGTATCTAAGAACCTTGAATTATTATTATTATTATTATTATTATTATTATTATTCTACAAAGTTTAAGGTAGGATCAAATCATGAAAAGTTGTTTTAGAAAAGACGTTTATAAATTTAAATTAAAAAATTATGAGGGAGAGCGACGAAACCACTGAAATAGCTCTATTTACTATCCTTACATATCTTACCGTGTGTGATATTACGGAGTGCTGGGGTTTTATGTCCATACTGAAGCAGTCCTTTGCCTTCGGATAAACAATGGTTTCTAGCTGTCTCGTAGGTCGTGTAGTGGGTTACGCTCGCACACTCTATATAAGTACATGTGTTTATATTTAATATAACATAATACCAAAAAAAGGTAGTAAATTTTAATTGCTCATAACCTTGCATTTCAAAAAAAATTATGTATATAATCTCAGTTTGGAATTGGATTCATCGGTATGGTAGGAATAACAAAGGCTAAGTTTGTTTCGAACACAAAGAAATTGAAAACGAGCTTTCGAAAACGTCAAAGAAAACAGGCGTTTTCGAAAGCTTGCAAATTAACCTCTCAATTCCTGTTTGTGTTCAAAACAATCTTGGCCTTTTTATTATCTCACTTACCAATGTAATATTAAGAAATTTAAACATCGTCTGTTCCAGGAAAATTGCATGTAGCTTCAGATTCATGTATATATATCACCCATAATTAATTGATAATTAATGAAACAGTCGTTTATGTATAGCCGTTATATTAATACTGATAATACAAGTAAAAAATAAATGTAAATATAAAGATGATATTGTTAGTTATATATTTTGGCACAGACCAGCAGTCCTGAGGTAATCTAGAATTTTAGAGATATTTACTGTTTCAAAAAGATATTTAAGACTCGTTATATTTCTACAGACATTATCTCCTTTCAGCTGGAGATACGTGTAAGTGCCATCTAATATTGATTATCGTATTGGTAAGTATCATAGATTCAACACTTGAT